AGATGATAAACCATTTTCAACTTTTCTAAATACTATAAATACTATACAAATTCATAACCAAAAATCTGTACCAAAAAGTACTAAGCAAATCACTCCACTGGCTGTAAAAAAGGCACCAATAATCTGTTTTTATGTCTAATAAAATATAATTTTTATATGAAATCTTACTCTACAGTCTGTCTACTATAGTTGAATATCATTTTTACATGTTTGCCTTTGGTCAGTTTTGACAAAACAATAAAAACACCACTCCATCTTTATTTCTCTTCTCTTGAGACTAATAGACAATTCTATTTTACAATATTTAATACATAAAGCATTCTAAGTCAAAATGTGTGGCATTTTTCACCTTGCCAATTTCATGTTAAGTCAAGGGCCTGTTACCAGGCCAAGAAACCCAAACTTAGACAAAAGCAATCCATTGGGATCAGAAATTTGCCAAATCTCATAATTCAAAAATAAACTGTTAAAGATGGTTGTGAGGTTTTGGCACTCTGATTTCAAGTCATTCCATAATAGGGTTTGTATTTCATCTAATCAGCAAATCGGAAACTATAAAAGTTTTGGTGGTGTGGAGGAATTAAAATTTGGATTGTAATACACAAGTCTTTCCTTTCCTTCCATATGTTGAAGTGAGTTAAAACTTCTAAATCCCGTTTTTTTAAAAACCCTTATAAAAAATAAAGCAGCCTGTAAAATCATATTTTTGGTACAGGAAACTTTAAATATTAAGCCTTGAAATGAAGAATTTGGGGGAAAAAAGAACATACAGCTTCTACAGCCAAAATAGTGTCAGACTCCATGTATATTCAGAATTAAATACATTTAAGCTTCCAAACTTTTTTTTTCTAAGTGACCTTTTCTTTGTTTTTGAAAATCAGGCATCTTATACTTAATTAAAAATGATGCCTTTTGAAATCCTTAAGAACATCTAAAAGATAGTAGTTGGAGCAAGAGATGTAGATGAATTATATTCTTAAGTAGAGCTAAATGAATTACTATACTATCAAATTATAAATGAAAATGGTTTTATAAGTTAAAACATTTTTCTAACAGATTAAACTCAATATATTATAACCTCTAAATGGAAGAAATAGCAACTTGTCCTCATAAACTTTAAGTAATGTTCTCCTTTTTCTTTCTCTATTTTTTTCTGTTGAGCCTTATATTGATTTCTTTCTTAATATCTTAATTTTATTTCCTTTTCCTTTTGTTTTTATATGGAAAAATTTCTTCACCTTTATTCTCATATTCTTCCAATGAAAATTGTTCTGATATCATATTTTTGTATTTCATTTTATTTATGTATTTATTTATTTTCAATTATGGCTTACATTCAATATTATCTTATACTAGCTTCCAGTGTATAAAGTATACTTTATAAATTATATACTTTATGATCACCCCCAATAATCCTACTACCCACTTAGCACCATACATAGTTATTATATTATTGACTATATTCCCTACACTAAACTTTATATCCCCAAAACTATTTTATAATTACTACTTTGTACTTCTTAATCACGTCACCTTTTTTACCCAGCCCTTTCAGCTTCTCCCATCTGGCAACCATTAATTTATTCTCTGCAACTATGAGTCTGGTTCTGTTTTGTTTGTTCATTTATTTTGTTCTTTTGATTCCACATATAAGTGAAATCATATGGTATTTGTCTTTCTTTGTCTGACATATTTCACTTAGCATAATGTCTTCTAGGTCCATCCATGTTGTTGCAAATAGTAAGATTTCATTCTTTATAATGGCCAAGTAATATTCCATTGTGTATTTATACTATCGATACAGCTCCTTCCTCCAATGGTCTACTGATGGAAACTTAGGTTGTTTCTATAATCTTGGCTATTATAAGTAATACTGCAATAAACACAGGGGTGCACATATCTTTTTGTATTAGTGTTTCTAAAAGCTCTTTCTCACTTTTCATTCTTTATTTTTTAATGACATCCTACTTCATGAAATACTTCATTGCCATCTCTTTCTAACAATTTAAGAAATGTTTTTTACTTCTCTTTCTTTCATTGTCCTCCTAATAATTTGTGTCCAATCTTTTACATTTGAGGGTTTCATATTATGATTTATGATCCTTGGTTGTGCATATATAAATGTTTTTTAAATCCTCACCTGATACCATGTTTTTTAGTGATTTGAGAAAGAAAGAGAGACAATCAGAAAGAGAAAGAGAGAAACATCAATTCATGAGAGAAACTGCCATTTGTCATTTGTCTCCCCTATTCTCCCTCTCCCCCCACTAAAGGTCAAACTTGCAATCTAGGTATGTGCCCTGACAAGGAATCAAACCCACACACATTGGTATATGAACAATGCTCCAACCAACTGAGCCATCTGGCCAGGGCTTCTGTCCATTGATATTTAGCAGTAAGTTAAATAAAAGCTGAATGATGTTCCTTAGGCACAGATGTGCTTTCTAGACTGGACAGATTCACTTCTGTGTATCTGCTTTGGAAACTATCATTTATAGGGCCTCTCCAAAAGTAGGTACATATGTGGAAATATTTTTCTAACAATGATCAGTTTCTCTAGAAGAGAATTCAGCAATTTTTTTGGAGGTGGGGTGGTTAGGTGGGTTAGTTGATGGAGTATAAGCTCTGTGCTGTTGGTGTTGAGCATGTGGTAGGGGAAGGGTACTGACTATGGAGTATCCATTGGAAGACATTCACTCAAATCTTTTTTTCAGTCCCTCTCATTCCACTTTCATTTTTTTTTCTTTCTTTTCTTTTAAAAAAAATATATTTTATTGATTTTTTACAGAGAGGAAGGGAGAGAGATAGAGAACTAGAAACGTCAATGAGAGAGAAACATCTACTAGCTGCCTCCTGCACACCCCCCACCAGGGATGTGCCTGCAACCAATGTACATGTCCTTGACCAGAATTGAACCCGGGACCCTTCAGTCCACAGACTGATGCTCTACCTCTGAACCAAACCGGCTTCACCTCATTCCACTTTCAATTGCGCGAGCTGTTGCTGAGTCCTGACGTCTATTATTCAACAGCTCTGCCACCATGAGCTTCCTTTCCCTGGCCTTACAGGTGAAGTGCCTGGTTGGGGTATTGTGTACATGGGGGAGAGGTCTGACTGTTCCATATGTTATAACGGATTACCTCATTTTATGCTCTTTAACTCTCTTCTATGCTAGCTGCCTCAAAATCTTGAGTCGTCTCCCCAGGTTTCTTTTTGAGTATGTTATATTTCTTTTCTTTGTTATCCCATCCCAAAGCTAGCTCTGAGAAATCAGTTGTAATATCTCCTTCCACTTTCTGACTTCCAAATTCAGTTTAAATAACATCTCCTCTCTCACTCTGATCATCTCCATAAGAGTATTCTTTCTCAATGTTTTATTCAGTAGAAGTTTATTATAAACATAATAACCATTACTTTGTTTACTATTCTTTCCATACCTCACTAAGTAATTCCTTCTAGATTTAATTGTGTTTTGTTTTGTGGGGTTTTTTTTTGAAGGACATCTATAATTTATTTGGCAAAAGCCTTTAGTGGGCTGATTTTTTTATTTATTTTCTTGGCCTAGAAATTCCCTGATCATGCAAATAAAGTAAATTCAAAACCCAAAGCCTGGTAGGAAAAGGACTTAGGATAAACTCCCAGCAGAGCCTTCCTTCATTCTCCATTCAGATCCCATGCTGAGAAAGGCTACTTTCTTGTATCAGTAAGCGATGTTGGTATTATTCTTTCACCAAGAATACAAATTTCTCTGCTTAATTAGGCATCCAATTTCTAGTCTTCCACCCAATCCAAAACTTTGTCTCTTATTCCAGCAAGAACAAAAACAAACAAACAAACAAAATACCTCTTCCCTTCCCGCAGGTTGTCACAAGTAGGAAACTATCCCAAATCAGCTACATGATAGATTACTGTTCACTGTTTTGGTGTTTAGTTTTTTCATTTCTAGCCACAGGGAAATTCTCTTGCTACTTTTTGAGCTATGCATTAAGAGGATATGTGTTATATTTTATTTGGCATATCTAGACTTTCATTAGGGAGATGTTTTCTGGTTACTTAGTCTGCCCATATAATTTCTCTAATAGCGTTTTAGTGATAGAATAGACACATTGTGTTTAATTTAGCAGCATCTGTGAGAAAATAAATGCTATTACTTTTAAATAATTATAAGATACAATACATTTCTATTCACTCCCTTAGAAATCACTTTCCTGACCTTTTGCTCTGTATTCGTTATATTCATTTATTTTTATAAATTTGGAGAAAGATCAGGTGATGTAACTAAAGCAGTATAAGTAACAGATTCAGTTTAGGATTGAAGACTAGTTTTATTGAGTAACTGAGGGAGCCCAGAAATTTCACGTATTTTGGACAAGTGTCTATTGTATCAAATAAAAATATTAATAATACTTTGAAACACATGAAATTTCGATATTTGTAAGTCACAAGAGTAGAATATCAGCAATTTCTTGTGCTTCAAACTAACACCACTTTCCTAGGACTTAGCCTCTGTGAGTGCTTGCCACACAATGAGTAGCCAAATGGTGGCTCCACTTCTTTTCTAATAATTTCAGCTAGAAGGAATTCCAGGTGATTCTGATCCACACACATGCAACAATTTGCCTATTTCAAAAGAATTAGACTTAGTTTTACATTGCAGCCAGTTTGGGGTTAATATTGGCTTGTAGAACTACAGTAACATAAGAACATAATCTTTGTACAAATATTGTTATTATAACAAATTCTTACGTAACCACATATTGAGGATTCTTCATGTATATGTTTTCATTGACTTACATCAGGGATCATGGCATGCCAAATTTTATATAAAGCAAAACCCACAGTCAAAGACATAGTGTTTTCCACATTTTCTATATAGGGTTCTAATTTAGTACTGCCATCATTATGCATCAACTGGCTAAGAAGCAGCACCTCAAACCACATCTAGCTCGGTCTGCAGGAAGAAAACCAGCTTCTAAAGGGTGAGGAAGGTAGGTACTCACCGTTAGAGCTAAGAGTTTCCCATAGGTGAGATGAGCAGGAATGTGGTCAGTCTTGGATCTGAGAGATTCCATGTACCAGTACTCTGCCTCGGGGAGTTTGCTTAATCGCATATACGCTTCCCCTGGAAAATGAAGCATGACAATCAATCTGAGGACACAGCTCTCCAACAGCCTTTGCAACAGCATCTCATCACCATGCTTATATTCCATGACGTTTCCAGAACTTTCATCGGCTATCTCATTTTATTCACTACAAGTTATCATCATTTCACTTTACAGAAGAGAAAACATGTTTGGAGAAATTAAGTGAAATGGCTAAAATAAAAGGTCTACTAAGTGGTAAAGCTTTAAGTTTTAATCTATGAACATCTGATTCCCAAGTATATGTGCTTTGTCACCATTAGTGTGTGTGTGTGTGTGTGTGTGTGTGTTTTAAATTTGTTCTTTCTTGTGTAAAATCATTTGCTTTTTTAATTCATATTCATACATAAGCATTTAGAGAATAACTACTAAGTGAAGAGCATTATGCAGACCTAGAGGAGAGAAGTTAAGGGTCATACCCTCCAAGGATTACAGTCACATTGAGAAAGTAAGTTTAAGTGAAGGAATGAAAAACTTGTGGATTATGCATTAATGCTAGACTTTTTCAGAACTATTTGCACTTTACATTTTAATAAGTAAATAAACTTAATCAATTTCATTTTTAAAATCTAATATATACATGACAATTATTGCCCATCAACATCTATAAAACTAGTCTGAGGCCTTTGAAGCATCTGTTATTACATTCAGCCTATATAAATTTTACCTACCAAATAGCATTTCACTAATAGCTAAGAGGAAAATAATTGGAAATAAAGCCAAAAGTATAGCAAATTGCCCTTTTATTATAATGCCTCTCTTCCTTATATAATTATGAAGAACACTTACCCAATGGAAAAATATATATTTTAAAATAATTTGTATATTTAAGTTAAATATTGTAGCTTTAACAAGCACTGCAAATGTAGATGCTATTCAATTCCTGAGACCAACCAATAGACTGGTAACCTGCATTATTATTCAAGCAGATTTTTATAGCTTCACTAATCATCATTATGATAGCTTTTTCCATTGATACGCATGATCAGTTGTTTATTCTATATTTATTACCCACATTGATTGTACATCCTTATGTCAAGGATGAGCTAGCTTCCTTTTATTTTAATCATATTCTTCTTCTATCAGCACAGCATTGCCAATACTAATACGTTTGAGGAATTGAATTAATTTGAGTCTCCTGACCTATTGAGTGCCCTTTGCTCGCTGGTCAGTAGAAAATATTGGTGAAAAGTATATGTATGTATCTACTTACATACATCTATGTGTTTCCAGTTCTAAGAACAGCCCTTACATCATACTATCATAAAAATAATAGCTAGAAAATGTTCTGTATTGTTTTAGTAAAACTTAAAACATGTTTGCTCTTTAAAAGAATTCGATTAGATTAAATCTCTAATTTAATGAGTGAGATGCAAGAACTACTGAAGTAAAGGCCAAAGACTGCAATGAAATACACAAAACACTCACAGTTGTTAGACTGGTAAAATTAGGAATGAATTTTTTAATTTTCTGTAATAATTATATTGTTTTTGCTATAATATCTTTATAAAAATTGAAATGCTGTCAAAGAGTTATATTTTATTTTTTTGCCTTGACAAATTAACAAACATTCCCAAATAAAGAAAACAGTAATTTTTCTTAGGAAAAGTAAATTGCTCTTCACATTAAAGTCATTCTAGATATAATTTATACAATAGGAAGAATGCACAATCTCTAAAGTACTGAAAATTTTAAAGCAATTAATGGTAAATTGTATTCAAATATTTATCTCTAAAATGTTTTCTAAAGCCAGCAGAAAACACATACTAACATCAGAGTTACAGCTGAAAGTGGGCTTGTTGGCAGATTGTTTGGAATCATCCTGAAATTCTACTTTGGGTCTTTAAGTGATCATAAGTCCCTTTTTAGAAGTTGTACAATCATTGCATTTAATATAGATTCTACTTTTTATTTATAACAAATCCAATTAATTGGTAGAATAATAACAGTAGGTTGTCTGTCTAGAAAAAGAATGCAAGAGAACCACAATACCAGAGAGCTTCAGATTCAAATATTTATATTTAAGTTGATGATATCTGAAAATCACTTCAGACCGTGTACTTTCTAAGTCAGAAATATATAATTATTAAAACCTCCTTTTGAAATGAAATATAATTAATTTACTAAATAATTCATAGCTGGCCCAATGTCTTCAGTAAAAACTCATACGCAATTTATTAGTTTATAAAGCTCACGATTTGGACAAATATCAAAGGATTAGAAATAAGAAAATATAATCTAATAACACATCTTGAAAATATATATAGCCAACATATTTGGGTACTATTCATTACAACTCAGAAAATCCTAAATAATAAAAGTCTAATATGCAAATAGATTAAACAGGGAACAATAGGTCACTATAACATGCACTAACACCTGGGGGCATGTGCAGAACATGGCAGGCATGAGTGGTGGGTTGGTGGAGCAGGTGAACAGGGATGCCAGAGCAAGGCGGGGTGCCAGTGGCTGTCATTGGGGCGAGCCTCTGGTGGTTACTGAAAATTCTTTGCTCCCTCACACCACTGTTCAGCCCAGTGTTCGCACTCACTGCTGGCTCCGGAGCCCTGCTCACACCCACAGCAGGCACCAGAGCAGCCACATGCACCCACTGCCAGTGCCAGTGCCCAGTGCCAGTCCCAATCACTTGGCGGCATCAGTGGGTGTGAACAGTCGCTGCCAGCACCTATCGCTCTTGAGGGCTTCTCCACCTCCCCCTGCTCCTGAGGAGCGATCAGGGCAGCCTGCCACTCACTATCACTGATGACGCTGAGCTTGCTCACACACACTGGTGGTGCCAGCCCCAATTGCAGTGCACTGTCAGCAGGTGCCAGCGGGGCTGGTGCTGTCAGTGCATGGGAGCAGCAGTGGTGAAAGCAGGGCTGCTGGCAGACAGAGGACCAGGGGCAGTGGTGGGAGAGGCCTGGCAGGGGAGCAGAGGATGGGCTGAAACGTGACCTTACCTTAGCCTCTCGGCCCACAGTTCCTTTCAAAGTGCACGAATTTGTGCACTAGGCCCCTAGTGTTTATATAACCACTCAGTGTATTTCAGGTATAAAAATGATTACAATGACAATAATTCACTGAAGTTTACTATGAATCAGAACAGCAAGCTGGGGGATGGGTAAATGTCTGATTTATGTGCACCCATGCCTCACATTCTGCATCTTTGGGCATGCAACATGTTTTCTCATTTCCCTCAAGAAGCCTTTCCTAATAACCACCATTCAATAACTACCAATTATTCCGAGTAGGTTTGTAAAATGAAACATGTTTTCAGTCTACTCGTTGCTTTATATATGCATCTGACTTTTTATTAAGAAATCTCATTACCTGGACTTTACAAAAGAAGGAAAGCAAGAAGCATAGTGGCTAAATAAAACACAAGACTCATAAATGTGGAAAATGTAAAGCTGCGATTCAGCCCAGGACTACCTGGCCTCAGAGCACACTGCTTCACACAGATGGTGCAGACTAATCACAAACTTTCTGATGCTCTGGCTGAGGTGAAAATTGCACTCTCTTTCTTACTCCAAGAAAATTGTTTTCTAGTCTGTGATACATTTGCCATGGAGTTTATTTCACTTTGCCTTGGCTTATCTCTTGAATTGAAGAAATAAGAAAGAGCAATAATAATCCATGGATGACCTTTACCAGGTGTACCGGTTAATAACGCAGATTTTCCAATCAAAGAAAGCATGATAATTTCAAGAGAAACATCAAAAGTGCTTTATTTAAAGTAGTGCTCATCACTAGCTACACATTTTCTCTATCTTTCAGGTAATTTGTGGATACCATCCCAAAAGAACTTTTCTTGTTTGGAGGCAAATCATTCAGAGACCCAATTCACTTCTTCCTACGTTTTGAAGTGCTGCTCAGAAAGTGCAGGTGTCATCGATCAGAACAACTGGTAATCTGAAGGAGCAAGGTTTGGTGAATAAGGCGGGTGGGTTAATATTTCCCAGGCAAGATCTTTTAATGTGTCTTTAACTGGTTTTGAAGTGTGTAATAGTGAGTCATCATGAAGCAAAATTACTTTGCTGTGTCTTCTGGCACATTTTTGTCATTTCACGATCAAAGCATGGTTCAAAATTATTACTTGTTATTGATAGCAATCAGTATTAACAGTTTCACCTGGTTTTAGAAGCTCATAATACACCACACCTTCCTAATCACACCAAACACATAGCATTGTCTTCTTTTCAAAGTGATTTGGCCTTGCAGTCAATGTTGATGGTTGATCTGGATCAACTCATGATTTTATGCATTTGGGATTCTCAAAATAAATCCATTTTTCATCACCAATCACAATTCAATGCAAAAATGACTTTCTTTCATACTGTTGAAGCAACATTTTACTGATGACTTTTCGGTTTTCCATTTGTCTTTTGTTCAGTTGATGTGGCGCCCATTTTCCTTTCTTTAAAATCTTTCCCATTGCTTGTAAATGATCAGAAATTGTTTGCTGAGCAACATTTAATCTTTCTGCAAGTTGTTTTTGAGTTTGTCATGCATCTTCATCCAATAATGCTTGTAATTATTGGTCTTCAAACCTTTTTGATTGACCTGAACATTCTTTGTCTTTCACATTGAAATCATCACTTTTAAAGTGTTTAAACCAGCATTCACAAGTATCTTGAGATGGAACATGTATACCATAAGCTCCCCGGAGTATATGATAACTTTCATCAGCACTTTTCTTCAAAATAAAGTAATGAAGTAAAAACTTCCCACAAATGCATGAAATTTGACATTTTTAAGTGTAAAAATATCAATGGTGCTAACACCTTTGGAAAATTTGACATATGAAGTTTTGAAGCTTGCTGTCAATACAACAAAATAGCATAGATATCAAATCACATCTATAGCAACTTTTGTGTAACTCCATCAATTGGAAAAAAAAATCTGCATTATTAACCGGTACACCTGGTAAAAGTGGTAATAAAATCAAGATAAAAAACATAAAATACAAGAAAATGGT